AGAAAGTATTTAGATTGTCCGCTTCTCAATCTCTACTTTTGTAATTGTTTTACAGTGTATAGATCTATTGAACATAGTAGAAATTACTTGAATTGTTTAATAAAGGCCACTCTTTTGATTATGTTTTCATTCAAGCCAGTTAGTGTTTTTTTTTATTCTACGGTGTATGTGACGATCAAGTTCTGTGGAAATAACTATAGCTTCAACAATTGAACTGTGACAATATTTACAGTCTAGTTGAGGCTCGCGCAGCCGGAGGCAGGCCCAATTTCAGATCCGTGTCTGCTGTAGAAGCCTGGAGAACAATTCGCCTGGCTGTGCTGCGCACAGCTCAAAGTATGACCAACCCGTCGGTGTGTATGCACAATGCGGGCCGCGCAGTTTTTCTATCATTACTAGTTGTTGCAGCAGCGTGTGAAAAGTGTGCTTGGCCAAAAAGAATTGCACAATAACAAATTTGATGCCGTATAATGACCTTGCTTTAACAGCATTAATCACTATTTCCACAACACTGTCATTCTTTGTGCAGCTAACGAGGGCTCCCGAGTATAAAGTGAGTGTCATGTATTTTGGGCACTATAAAATAATTTTGGGTAATTGTGGCCCTTTAAGCTGTTTCCTGCAAAAGTGGGAAAACATCACATTATATTTTTGCGTGAGCGTACTATCTTGTTGTAGTTGTATTACATGAAAACTCTTGTTGATCGTACAAATTATTACACTTTTTGTCATATTTACCATTTATTGACAATGATGCAGAATGAGCAACCAAACACAACACTCAGTACATACATTATGTTATCATCAGTATAGTCATAATAATGGGGGTGACAGTGGCCCAGTTGGAAGAGCATTGCCGTCGTGGGTTCGAGCCCACCGCGAGACCTTCTCCACCTACTCCCACTGATGTCCCACTTAACCCCACTCTGCCTGCAGGCAGCTGTCCTCCTGTGGACTCACCACCTGCAGGAGGATCAGTGAGGGGCTGGTGCTCTGTGAATTAGGTGCCTCACCCCCCCGACCCAGAAATGGATTAAGGGGAAGAAGATGGATGAATATTAATAATATAATATAATAATTGTAACCAATAATAACCAAGTGGATATTAGAGAGGACATTTAATGACACTAAAGAGCTAGCCGTGATGTCACTTCCAGGTCCCACTCGACGATTGGTCAAGGGGGGGCAGCGGGGGCCAGTCAGGAGCCCAGAGAGGGGGCTGAACAGATGCAAATTCATCACAACAATAATTCATTTATAAGAAATAACCCATTATATATACATAAGAATAGAATACATAAGGTTTCTTGAAACCTTTCACTTATTTTTATCCGTGTTAGACTTTGCATTTATCTCTCAGTGATTTCACCCCATATATTTTTCTATTTGTTCTTTCGCTACTCCCAGTTCACTTACTGGCTGTTTACAACTGTAAGAGCAAACAAATGACCAAAATCGAGGGACATTCTATGCCGGCACAGCAAATCACCTTATGTGCTGCCCAAAGACTGAAAATCTGGTCCAACCAGCTTCTCAGACTGCCTGCTAAATAGTAACACTGCAGCTCAGCTATGCCTACAACTGTGGCTTTGCCTTTGCGTAAACTGAATAGTATTCTTCCCCCTGTTGTGCTCAACATACAGAACCTCAAAGCTAATTTCAAGCAACAACCAAATTTCCCCTCACACAGATCCTTTTAAGCCAGGAGTGTCCAAACCTTAAACTAAGAGGGCCACTTACAGTAAGTTTGCCAGACTTGTCCAGTGGTCAACAACACGGTTTGTAAAACTATACATTTGATTTTAAAGCAATAAAATTTTGATAATTGATTCAGATTCGGTTTATCTGTCATTTGCAGTAAAACCACATTGGAATGCATTTGCAAGTCCCCAGTGTGCAGCAGACAAGTACATAAATAAAACAGGTCTATTTTGAGATACTGAATGAGGTATAACATGTGCATTTATATGTGTCCAATTGTACTGTGAATGTAGTGCCATGTGATTATTTGCTGAATGTGTGTTGTTTATGTATTTTAAGGTGACAACTAAAGACAATTTTCCACCTTGGTGGACAAGTTTTTGTATTCATATTCGTATACATACACACATCTGTGAGAGCTGAGGTTAGTTGAATAGCTTGTGCCATGGACACATTTTTGTGCCATAATGAAAAACAGATGTCAGTGCGTACAAAGAAATGGTTTCAAAATGTATAACATGCCTGTAAGGCAAGGCAAGGCAAGTTTATTTGTATAGCACAATTCATACACGAGGCAATTCAAAGTGCTGAACCAAACAAGAAAGCATTAAAATCATAAATAATCAGAGTACATTAAAAAGAAAGATAAAAACATAAAATCCCTCAGTTGTATGCACAGCTAAACAGAACTGTCTTTAACCTGGTTTTAAACATTGTCATTGAGGAGGCCTGTCTCACATCTTCAGGAAGATTGTTCCAGATTTTAGCAGCATGAATCTGAAAAGCATCCTCCCCATGTTTAGTTCTGACTCTGGGCACTAACAGGAGTCCAGTCCCTGTGCTCGTCAGAGTCCTAGCAGGAGTCCAGTCCCTGTGCTCCTCAGAGTCCGGGCTGGTTCATATGGGACTAACATGTCACTAATATATTTTGGAGCGAGGCCATGGAGAGACTTGTACACAAGCAGAGCTGTTTTAAAGTCTATTCTCTGAGCCACAGGAAGCCAGTGCAGGGACCTGAGGACCGGACTAATGTGGTCGTACTTCCTGGTTCTAGTCAGGACTCGAGCTGCTGCATTTTGAATGTACTGCAGCTGTTTTACAGCCTGTTTGGACAGACCTGTGAGCAGGCCATTGCAGTAGTCTAACCTACTGGAGACAAATGCATGGATAAGAATCTCCAAGTCTGCTTTAGACACTATGTTTTTGATCCTGGCAATGTTTTTTAGATGGTAAAAAGCTGCTGATGTTACTGATATGATGTGGCTATTAAAATTTAAGTCTGAGTCCAGTATTTCCCCTAGATTTCTGACCTTGTTTGAAGGTTTTAGGGAGAGAGACTGGAGGTGACAGATGACGCTCTCTCTTTGTTTCTGGGGACCAATCATTTCACTTTTGTCCGCATTTAGCTGAAGGAAGTTGTTTTGCATCCACTCACTGATCTGTTGGATACAGTGAAGGAGTGAGGCCACTGGTCCATGTTCTCCTGCAGTCAATGGGACATTGATCTGAGTGTCGTCTGCATAGTTGTGATAGGACACTTTGTTTCTGCGTATTAACTGACCTAACGTAACGTAATGTAGAGATTGAACAGAAGAGGTCCCAGGATCGACCCCTGTGGTACTCCACAGGTCAGGGCCATATGATCTGAGACACAGTTTCCAATCTCCATAAAGTACTTCCTGTCTTCAAGGTAAGACCTACACCAACTTAGGGCGGTGCCAGCGACACCAACCCAGTCCTCTAGTCTCTGTAAGAGGATCTCATGGTCGACAGTGTCAAAGGCAGCACTCAGATCTAACAGGATTAAGAACGAGACTTGGCCTGCGTCAGTGTTCAGCCGGATATCGTTTGTAACCTTGACGAGAGCAGTCTCAGTGCTGTGGTGGGGTCTAAAGCCAGACTGAAACATATCAAATGAGTTGTTGATTATAAGAAATCTAGTAAGCTGTAGGTATACAACTTTCTCAAGGACTTTCCCCATAAATGGCAGATTTGAGATGGGACGATAGTTGTTAAGTACCGTAGCATCCAGACTGCTCTTTTTTAGCAGGGGCCTGATGACTGCAATTTTCAGGGCCTTTGGGAATATTCCAGAATGAAGGGACATGTTTACTATCTGTGTGAGTGAAGGTAGCAGACTGCTCAGAACAGACTTCAGAAATCTAGTGGGTAGTACATCCACGCTGCATGTGGAGGAGCTCAGACTGGAGATTATCTCTTGGACATTTTTATCATCTACAGGTGCAAAGTAAGTTAGCTCAGAGAGCCTTTCTGGCTGTTGGATGGTTATCTGTGGATTGGAGACAATGGCGTTTTTGATGCCTTGAACCTTGTCATTGAAAAAATGTGCAAACTCATTGCATTTATGTTTGGAAGTAAGCTCTAATGGCATTTGAACAGGGGGGTTTGTTAATCTATTAACTGTTGAGAACAGAACACGCAGATTGTTGCTGCAGCCTTCAATCATTTCAGAAAAATTCCTTTCTCTCGTACTACGTAGCACCCGGTTAAACTCGCACAACTTATCTTTGAAGATCTCGTAATCAACCGTATTGGAGAAGCGGAAGCAGTCTGGATAACACAATTTGCTTGTGATTATAATCTCAAAGGTATTTTGGGTTAGCAAGGTTTAGGGCCACATAGAATGACACAGCAGGCCACAATTGGCCCCCGGGCCTTAGTTTAGACACGCCTGTTTTAAGTACCTCCACACGTGACGCCATTCTATTATCATGAAAATATAATAATATAATGATAATTATACTATATATCTTAATAATTGTTGCTGTACATATACAGTACTAGGCCCAAACCAAGTGGATATAAAGACGACATTTAATGACACTAAAGAGTTAGTTACATACAGACATAAACAAAATAAATCAGACCCTGGGGGAGATGTTGGATTGGAGAGAGAGTGGAAGCCCATGAAGGCCTCTGCCAGAGGCCTCCTGACTACATCATGTTGGAGGTAGCATGCCCAGACAGAGAGAGCGAACAGTAAGCCGGCTCACAACTATATAGCTAGCCGTGATGTCACTTCCAAAGTTCCTGGTCACACTCGATGATTGGTCAGGGGGGTCAGCGGGGGTCAGTCAGGAGCCAGTTAGCCCCTGGCAGGGGGGCTGAACAGATGCAAATTCATCCCAACACCCAACATAATTCATTTTTACACGGGTCTCTCAACCAGTAGGTTGTGGGTTCGATTTCTCCTCAGGCCAGTCTGTGTAGAGTTTGCTTTGCCCTTGCTTTGTCCTCACCCTCCTCTTGTCCTCACCCTCCTCTGTCTCTCCTCTTAGGCCTCGCGGGCGCAGCGCCGGACCTGGACAAGAGAAAAGAAGTCTATGGGGAAAACCTGATACCTCCAAAAAAGCCAAAGACCTTCCTGCAGCTGGTGTGGGAAGCTCTGCAGGACGTGACCCTCATCATCCTGGAGCTGGCAGCCCTCATCTCTCTGGGTCTGTCCTTCTACCACCCCCCAGGGGAGAGCAGCGGCGAGGGTGAGTCTGCACGCACACTCTGTTAAACCGTAGGTCAAACTCAAAGGGCCAGGCTACCCCCTTCTACTCAGGAGAGTCTAGTTTTAACTTTGAGACCTGAGGAAGTGGGTAAAGTCATGCTCCCGTTGAGGTTGGAACTAAAACCTGCTGCCGCACCTGCGCTTTGAGGCACAAGTTTGACACCACTGCTTTAAACGGCTCTTTATACACAATTGTTCCATCATCAAAACAGACTCCATTCCCAGTAACATCAGGCTGTAGAACCAGGACTGAGGCTTTAGATCCAGGACTGAGGCTGTAGATCCAGGACACAGACAATGGGATAGTGGGTGAATAGCAATGAAAAGACCACAACTGAAGTCATAATGAGGACGGATGAAGGAGAGGAGAGCATATTGCTGTTAATATACTTCTCCAGTAGGGGTCTCCGTATGTGTGTCTGGGTGTGTGTGTATGTGTGTGCGTGTGTGTGTATGTATGTGTGTTGTCTCACTATCTGTATGTGAGTGTGTGTGTCTCTATATGCCTCTCTCTGTGTGTATGTGTGATTGTATATGTGTGAGTACACGCTCACTTATTATAAATGTGTCAAGTGTGCTGGAGGTTAATGAAGTGTTGAGTGGAGGAATAACCTTGAGCCCTAATGACCACACACACACACACACACAGAGCGCTCTGAGCCGTGAAACAGGAAATGAAGATGGAGATCATAATGTGAGGCCTGAGTCAGCGGCATCAGTCATGGCTGCCTCTCTCTCAGCATCACAGCTCCAAAGAGATCTAGTAAGCTGGTAGTTCTAGAGCTCCAGAGAGCCCCCCCCACAGAGTCAGAGAGACTCCCCACGTTTAGAGATCTTGATTTGTTTGTCGCATAAATAAGCATAAGGATCAGCTTCACAGAGTTAATAATGCTCTCTCTTTGACCTCTCTCTAAAGTGTGCTCGGATAGGGGATTTACAGCCTTAAAACGTAAAGCTTCTACTTCAGGAACTTCAGGTATTGTGGGTTATGTTTAGAACACATCACCCTTGCGAAAAACAAGGGACGTATGGGATGAGCATCTCAATGAAATATAAATGATTAACATAATTTTTCTCCCTATAGTTACACATTGACTAGTTGAATATTGCTCCTCTTCCTTCAGCACCACGGACAGCTCCTCTGAACATAGGGCTTTCAATCAAAATCCATATTTAAAATGTTTACATAGATAACTTTAGTTTCATTACAACATAGTGCTGTCACCACACTGTTCACTGTTTCAGACAAACTGCAAGACCTGTTTTATATTTTGACCACTAAAAAGAAATGTTTATAAATGTGTAGAAATGTCTCGGATCATCACTGTCCTTAGACTTTCTGCATCGACAAGGAACCACTCAGAAATCCGGGACTGAGGTTGTAGACCCAGGACTGAGGCTGTAGATCCAGGAATGAGGCTGTAGACCCAGGACTGAGGCTGTAGATCCAGGACTGAGGCTGTAGATCCAGGACTGAGGCTGTCAATCCAGGAATGAGGCTGTAGACCCAGGACTGAAACTATAGATTCAGACCCCTTTCTATAGTCTAACTAACACACTCGCTCATAGATCCAGAACAAGGAAAACCCCATTCTACAACCAACCTTTTTGGCATTATACCACATTCTTAAACTTCAATATACTCCTCTTCTTCTGCCTTTTCCTCTGGACTCTAACCTGCTCCTCTTCTCTCTGTTCCGTCTGACTCTAACCTGTTCTCCCTCTTCCCTCTTCAGCCTGTGGCACGGCTGCAGCAGGAGCGGAGGACGAGGGTGAGGCGGAGGCGGGATGGATAGAAGGCGCCGCAATCTTGCTGTCGGTGGTGTGTGTGGTGCTGGTCACGGCCTTCAACGATTGGTCGAAGGAGAAGCAGTTCCGCGGGCTGCAGAGTCGCATCGAGCAGGAGCAAAAGTTCCAGGTGGTGCGAGGGGGACAGGTCATCCAGCTGCCGGTCGCCGACATCGTGGTGGGGGACATTGCTCAGATCAAATATGGTAAGGGTTCCATCTTTCATCCATTCATCCAGTCACTGTCACCAGGAGATTAGTATTACATTATTAGTAAAACTGGAGTAGAGTAGAGAACAGTAGAGTAGAGTGATGTAGTTTAGTAGAGTAGAGTAGGGTAGAGGACAGTAGAGTAGAGTGATGGAGAGTAGACTATATGTAGTGTATTTATTGCCCTGTAACTGACCATTAACAATTGAACCCATGAAGTTGCTCAAACCAAGGAAACTCATCTCCAACATGAGACTGAAGCTCCCAGAGAAATCCCTTTAACGGCCCCCATTCTAATAAATGGAATTCTGAAAAATCCCCCAAAATAGAGAGTCAGTTTTATGAGGTCATTTGAGGATCACCCTCCCCATACAGGGAGGATTCATTAATCATTTATTTATTTTCATTTAGATATTCAGATAGATTCAAATATTTGTAATTTAACAGCATCAGTATAAGAATTCACTTGTGTATGTTACCTTTCAAATGAGGCATCATAACACAACATCAGACACAAGATTTCCACACAATAAGCATTTCTATTTGGGTATCATATTTCGAGAAGGAACAGCTGATTAGGTGATCCTTAAAGAGTAAGAGCTATAACTACATACAGCAACAGGAGAAAGGCTAAATACTAACTGCTGATAGTAAACAGTGTGTTTCTATGGTAACTAGCACTGGCTCTTCTTTGGTGGAAAACAGAGCTCAACTAGGACCAACACCTTGGAAGAAAGAGGCTTAAACTGCCATAGAATGTTGTTTACCAATTTACCAAAAAATGAAATGACTGCTGAGAGAGTTAAAGGTAGAACTCTTCACATTTCAATAATAAAAGATAATTTGATAAAAGTAATGACAGTAGAGTAGAGTCGAGCAGATTTGGGCTGGTGAATAGAGGCTTTAGTTTGGACATCCTAGGCGTAGACAAATCAACTGACCTATTACAAACATTGAATTTAATTACATAGAACGTTCAGACTGAGAAATTACTTGATTCAAGCTAGAGAATAATATAGCCCAGTTTAAAGAGACAGTATTTCTCAACAGCCAACGCTCAGTAAAGCACAGAATCTTCGAAAGCAGTCGTCGTCTGTTCTTTGTTCCACTCTGTGACGTCTTTAAAAAGCTCTATTGTGTGAAACAAATTAAAGTACATCTTGTGATAAGTTTATCGCACATGGATGCTGATTGGCTCTGGCCTGTTCTTAATTAGTAATTTCCACGGTTCACCAACTCAAATACTGTAGAACTTCCTCCTGGTCAGAGGGGGATTCAACTTATTAAGTCCACCTCAAGCAATTAGACATATTAAAGGTACAATACGTTAATGATAAGAATTTAATTAATAGGAGACAGACCATGGACTATTTTCAGGAGACTGCTAACCAGCTAGCTCAAGGCAGTGCTTTGCTCTACTCTGCTCTGCTCTACACTACTCTACTCTACTTTATTGTACTCTACTCTTCTGTGCTCCACCCTACCCTACCCTACTCAATCCTAGGATTTTTACTTTAGAGTCACTTGTGCCTCTGACCTTATTTCCCTCGAGTAGAGTAGGATGGGTGGAAACAGGGCTATAGTGGTTGCCGTGGTAACTTATGCTTCTATAGTCCATCTTGTAGTGACATGAGTCCAACCTGCTCTACACCTGTCTTCTGTTTCAGGTGACCTGCTTCCCACGGACGGGATTTTAATTCAGGGCAACGACCTAAAGATCGATGAGTCATCTCTGACCGGAGAATCTGACCACGTCAAGAAAGCGGCGGACAAGGACCCGATGCTGCTGTCAGGTAAGTGCATACATGACGATGGTCGATTGAAGGATTAGAAATAGGTGTTCCACGTGTAGGTGTGTTCTGATAAGACATGTTGAAATCCCAGTATGAAGACAATACTACAAGGAGACAGTAATATTTCATTCATTTTATCAGACACTTTTCTGTCTGAAAAAGCTGATCTGAAGATGTGAGAGAGGCCAAACATACATATGAGAGACCAGAGAGAGACCAGTGAGAGAGACCAGTGAGAGAGACCAGTGAGAGAGCAGAAACAGAGACCAGAGAGAGAGACTAGGGAGAGGCTAGAGAGACACCAGCGAGAGAGCAGATAGGGAGACCAGAGAGAGACCAGAGAGAGACCAGAGAGAGACCAGAGAGAGACCAGAGAGAGACCAGAGAGAGACCAGAGAGAGACCAGAGAGAGACCAGAGAGAGACCAGAGCGAGACCAGAGCGAGACCAGAGCGAGACCAGAGAGAGACCAGAGAGAGCCCAGAGAGAGACCAGAGAGAGACCAGAGAGAGACCAGAGAGAGACCAGAGAGAGACCAGAGAGAGACCAGAGAGAGACCAGAGAGAGAGACCAGTGAGAGATTAGAGAGTTAGACCCGGGGAAGACTGAAGACATGCTGGAGGGACTGTCTCTCAGCTGTAGTGACGGTGGAGAGGGACGCCGACACTTGGGCGTCTCTACTCAGACTGCTGCCACTGTGACCCGGCAATGGATAAAGCAGAAGAAAATGAATGGTTGATTATGCTGGTTATGTTTGCACTGGTGGACTGTTGGCCAGAAAGCCTCAGAACTCGATATTGCAGCTTTGTGTTGGAAATCCTTTGTCCATGTGTGAAGTGTGGCCTTAGTGCAGGACGTTTGTTAATTACATCCGGATCCAGGAAATGCTTCAGATGTGATTATGTCATCAACCCTGACTCTTATGGATGGGTCTTCACTGTCAACGCTAAAAAAAGGAGGGAGGAATCACTCCAATGACTGCTCTGCTTTCTGTGTTTACCAATTGTTGCCTCCAGATCCTATACATACAACATATCCTGCCTTATATGCATACAACTTTCTATCTATATGTACTGTATATATATAGTGTATAGATAGATAGATAGATAGATAGATAGATAGAGAGATACAGAGAGAAACCAGACAGATATAAAAATCCAGTTAGAAGGAGTTTTCATTGTTTACAGCAGTACTACGGTATAGAGTATGGTAGAGTAGAGTAGAACTTAGGATTTTGCCATTTATGACTTATTAGCGCATTATCCTCTGTTTGATTGATTTGATATGCTGCTATAATGACACAGTGGATGCTTTCATGAAGTCACGCTCCTCACAGATAAGAAACTCTCATCCGTCTCACAGCGGGGGATTCATGGAAACTTTTATCAATTTATTTAAAACTGTCTAAAACTCATTAGGCCTGATCTGTATGTCAGACACTCAGCAGTTCAGGGCCTGGTTAGTTTCCTCCAGCATGTAAACTAAAACATGTACAATTAGCTATTCTGCGTTCTTGAAGCAGGTTTTAATTGTGTATTACAGTAACAGCAGTCGTCTTGGAGGACTTCAAAGTTGTGGATTCCCCAACAACAGATCAGAGAATCAAACAGTCCAGAAATGTTTATAAATATGCAGAAATGTCCCAGATCTCCACCGTCCTTAGACCCTCTTGCTTCAGAGATGAACCACTCAGAAACCAGGACTGAGGCTGTAGATCCAGGACTGAGGCTGTAGATCCAGGACTGAGGCTGTAGATCCAGGACTGAGGCTGTCGATCCAGGACTGAGGCTGTAGATCCAGGACTGAGGCTGTCAATCCAGGACTGAGGCTGTAGATCCAGGACTGAGGCTGTAGATCCAGGACTGAGGCTGTCGATCCAGGACTGAGGCTGTAGATCCAGGACTGAGGCTGTAGATCCAGGACTGAGGATGTACAGTAGATCCAGGACAGAAGAGGCTCCCGGGCCTCCGGGCTGGGGGCGACCAGTTCATAGGGGAAGTCTCATCATCACACCATGGAACAGCAGAAGAATAGCAATGAACATACTACAGATGAAGTCATAATGATTCATCCTGCATTTATCTCATTAGAAAACCTTTTATCTTGAGCATACATGTACTTGTAATAAAGAGCCCTATGAGTCACTTTTTTAAACTTTGGGATGAGTGCTGAGGCCTGAGTGAGGGTAGTCCTCTCTTATTCAGTCTGAAAAAGCTGATCCTAATGTGACAGAGGCCAAAAACGCTTGCATGAGAAAACTAGTGATAGAAGTAAACAGGATTTTCTGTCAAAAAGAGGTCAACAGTTGAAGAGCTTGACCTTCTGGCCACTAGAGACACGGACTTGTTTACATACTGTATCTCACTACAGAATTCTACTCTTGGTGACCAGTTCCTATTGATTAATCAGTAAAACGGTGGTTCCTATTGGAAGAGGAGACTATTAATGGAGATACAGACAGACTCTATAAAAACTCAGTACAATGATTGTGGCGACTTTGGGCAGAGATGCTGTCCACACACTGCCGGACCACGCGTTAAAGACGTCCTTTCTACTCCAGTCTCCAGTCTGGTATTCTTTGCATCATTGATTCTTTGCCTCTGCTCCTCTGTCCATCTTACAGGCCGAGCACTTTTGAGCGTTTTGGGTTACCTTGACTTCACTGAACGTATTTGGTATATTTTGGTGTCTCTGCAGGCACTCATGTGATGGAAGGCTCCGGACGCATGGTGGTCACTGCTGTGGGGGTGAACTCTCAGACCGGGATCATCTTCACTCTGCTGGGGGCCGGAGTGGAGGAGGAGGAGAAGAAGGAGGAGAAGAAAGGTACTCCCAACGCACACTCCCATCTCAACACTGTTTAGCACTAGATTTCATACAAGATGCAATCAGCCAAGCTAGTTTTTTTGGGGAGATTTTTTAGTGAACCAAGCTTTTAGCATTAGCTTCATGATGCTAGACTTTACAGAATGTGCTGTTGTCATGTCTTGTCTTATTGTTCCACATTTTAAAGGTGGGGCAGTGGAGGACGGACACCAGAACACAGGTACAATTCATTCTTCTCTGGGAGTCCCACCTGGTTCCCTAATGCAGTGTTTTTCAACCTTTTTTGAGCCAAGGCACACTTTTTTCACTGAAAAATTCTTGCGGCACACCTCCAGGAGAAAATGTAAAAATGTATACAGTACTAATGTAAAAATATATACTGTACATACTCTGTGTGATATATAAAGTATATCTTATCTTATCTTATAATGTATACAGTATACTCTGTAGCCTATATTCACAATATACAGTTATTCTCATCAAAATGCTTAAGTCCAGGCCTTGACATTAAGCTTTATTTAACATTTCTCGATACAATTAACAAGAGTTTGGTAATAAAGTGGCACTAACTGTGTGGAAAAAAACTAAGAAAATCCACTCTCTGCCCAAATAGTCAAATAATAACTCACACAAAGAACATGCATTGTTAGTGCATGGGAAAAATTTAGGTATCCGAGCTTTAAATTCAGGAGTTTTGGATGAGGGACACGGGAGGTCCTGAACGCGAGTCCATGGTTCTGTCCGGTCCGCATGTCTGTGGTTCTGTCCACTTGACTATGGTCTGCGCTCGGTACCCAGTTCAGAAGTGCGTTCGCGAGAGCTGTTGTACAAAAATTGTACATTTCATAGTTAAACCACTACAACGCGGCCACAGCTGCCCCGGGGCAGAGCGGAGGATGTTAATCCTGTTCAGAAACGGCATAATTCATTTTCAAAAACGTCTCTATCACTTTCACTTCTCACTCGCCACAAAGCTCTTGTCTCGCTCCCTCCCACATTTGTTGGTCGCATCCAATTTTACCTTTCTCGCCAAAATGCTGACCTGTTACAGCCAGTGGTCGCATCCAATTTTTCAGTTTCAAAGTACTTAGCTATCTGCTGCCATCTACTGATTTGAAAAAGTATTACATGGTTACTCCACAGTTCAAAACAAGTCACCGCTCGTCAACAGCGAATGCAGTTATTTTTAGACAAAGTAGACGAATTTCTCACGGCACACCAGACAATATCATACGGCACACTAGTGTGCCGCGGCACAGTGGTTGAAAAACACTGCCCTAATGACCCCAGAAGAACCCACCAGTTACACCCCCCAAGCTGCAAAAAGAGTATCTGCCTCAGCTGAAATGACTTCTCTCGGGAAAAAAATTGAATAAACATATGTCTTATACGTCTAACCTGTACCGACAACATAATATATACACTTTTACCGAACTCATGACTGTGGAATTTAGCTAGATCATAGAGAGGGAACAGAGAGAGAAACCAGAGAGAGAGACTGGAGAGAGATACAGTAAACTAGAGAGACCAGAAAGAGACCACAGAAAGAGAGACCAGAGTGAGACCAGAGTGAGACCAGAGTGAGACCGGAGAGAGACCAGATAGAGACCAGGGAGAGATCAGAGAGAGACCAGAGAGAGACCAGAGAGAGACCAGAGAGAGACAGGAGATTGACCAGAGAGAGACCAGAGAGAGACCAGAGAGAGACCAGAGAGAGACCAGATAGAGATCCGAGAGAGACAGGAGATTGACCAGAGAGAGAGTCCTGAGAGTGACCAGACAGTGACACCAGAGAAAGAGACCAGAAAGAAGTACCAGAGAGAGAGAGACCAGAGAGAGACAGGAGATTGACTAGAGAGAGTCCAGAGAGTGACCAGACAGTGACACCAGAGAGAAAGAGAGACCAGAGAGGGAGACCAGAGAGAGAGACCAGAGAAAGATACCCGAAAGAGGTACACGAAAGAGGTACCCGAAAGAGGTACCAGAGAGAGAGACCATAGAGAGAGACCAGAGAGAGAGACCAGAGAGGGAGACCAGAGAGGGAGACCAGAGAGAGACACCAGAGAAAGAGACCAGAGAGAGAGACCAGAGAGAGACCAGAGAGAGACCAGAGAGAGACCAGAGAGAGTCCAGAGAGAGTCCAGAGAGAGTCCAGAGAGAGTCCAGAGAGAGTCCAGAGAGAGACCAGAGAGAGACCAGAGAGAGACCAGAGAGAGACCAGAGAGAGAGACCATAGAGACAGGAGATTGACCACAGAGAGAGAGTCCAGAGAGAGAGACCAGTAAGAGAGACTAGAGAGAGCAAAGAGAGACCAGAGAGAGACCAGAGAGAGATAGGAGATTGACCATAGAGAGAGTCCAGAGAGTGACCAGACAGTGACACCAGAGAGAAAGAGAGACCAGAGAGAGAGACCAGAAAGCGGGACCAGAGAGGGAGACCAGAGAAAGAGAGAGAGAGTCCCCTGAACTAATCATAGCGGTGTATTCAAGCCACAAAAGACAACTGCCAGCGGTGATAAGATGTTGTTGGAATATACTTGCTTCTTTAAGCCACACATAACTAAATAAAACACGCAGATTTTCTCGTTAACGTCTGAATAAAAAAATTGCTTTTATAAAGACATTATTTACTTTCGAAAGCCACAGAGACAGATGTGAGGTCAGATGTTCTGTGTAAATCTACAACTGTGAAAACAGCATCAACAGCAGATGGAGGCAGCTAATTCAAACACAGGAAATGGTGAAACAGATATTTTCTTCACTCACCTCTCATTAGGTATAAAGTCAAACTGTTATCACTGTCCTTTTATCCATCGGCTGAATGCTTCTCTGCACAGGCACAGAACACAGTTGTAACTCTAATTAAATCAGCAGAGACATGTCCACGCTGCATGCTCTGGTCTCCCTAATAATTAGCTTCAGATAAACAAAAATGTATACAACATTATATAACCGCTAGAATAACAAGGCAGTTACCTTTAAAGCTGGTGCCGATTAGTTCTCTTTCTGGTCTCTCTCTCTGGTCTCTCTCCAGTATCTTTCTCTCTGGTCTCTCTCTCTAACCTATCTCTGGTCTCTCTTTCTGGTCTCTCTCTCTGGTCTCTCTCCAGTCTCTTTCTCTCTGGTCTCTCCCTCTAACCTCTCTCTGGTCTCTCCCTCCTGTCTCTTGCTGGCCTGTCTGGTCTCTCACTCTCTTGTCTCTCTCTCTGGTCTCTCACTGGTCTCTCACTCTCTTGTCTCTCTCTCTGGTCTCTCACTCTCTGATCTGTCTCTGGTCTCTCACTCTCTTGTCTCATTCTCTGATCTCTCTCTGGTTTCTCACTCTCTTGTCTCTCTCTCTGGTTACTCACTCTCTTGTCTTATTCTCTGATCTCTCTCTGGTCTCTCACTCTCTTGTCTCTCTCTCTGGTCTCTCACTCTCTTGTCTCATTCTCTGATCTCTCTCTGGTCTCTCACTCTCTTGTCTCATTCTCTGATCTCTCTCTGGTCTCTCACTCTCTTGTCTCTCTCTCTGGTCTCTCTCTGGTGTCCGCATGTGGCCCATTCTGTCCTCAATGGGAGAAACCTGGTAGACTGTAATCCAGATACAGGTAATTGTCCAGTTACATTGATACGTTCACTTCAACATGTTCTCGTCCTCTGGTGAATATTCCCAAAACAGACATTTCTGGACCGTCCCGTTCACCTGATGTCATTTCAGCTCATGCAGATACTCAGTTATTGCACTGTACTTCACCTTGATCCCTCACTTAAAAAGAAACGCCTGATCCTTGCGTCTTTTTAAGTACAGAGACACATTCCTCCTCCTTCTCTCTCAGCGCTCATCAAACTAACAAGCTTTTAACACAAGCATCCGCCGTCAGTGCGGTTTCCTGCGCGTGAAGTGTCTTTGGAGACATGGCGGAAATCTCTGAGCCACGATAAGAGAGGATTCAGCTCTCTCTCTCTCTCTCTGGTCTCTCTCTCTGGTCTCTCTTTTTGGTCACTCTCTCTCTGGTCTTTTTCTGGTCTCTCTTTTTGGTCACTCTCTCTCTGGTCTTTCTTTCTGGTCTCGCTTTTTGGTCACTCTCTGGTCTTTCTTTCTGGTCTCTCTCTCTCTGGTCTCTCTTTCTGGTCTCTCTCTCTGGTCTCTCTCCAGTATCTTTCTCTTTGGTCCCTCTCTCTCTAACCTATCCCTGGTCTCTCTTTCTGGTCTTTCTCTCTGGTCTCTCTCTCTGGTCTCTCTCTCTGGTCTCTCTTTCTGGTCTCTCTCTCTGGTCTCTCTATCTCGTCTCTCTCTCTGGTCTCTCTCTGGTCTCTCTTTCTGGTCTCTATTTCTGTTTTCTCTCTGGTCTTTTTCTGGTGTCTCTCTGGTTTCTCACCGGTCTTTCTCTCTGGTCACTCCCTAGCTCTTTTTTGGTCTCTCTTTGGTGTCCAGACTCTCTTTCTGCTCTCTGTCTGCTCTCTGTCTGCTCTCTGTCTGCTCTCACTCTGGTCTCTCTCTCTGGTCTCTCTTTGGCGTCCAGACTCTCTTTCTGCTCTCTGTCTGCTCTCTGTCTGGTCTCACTCTGGTCTCTCTCTCTGGTCTCTCTATGGTGTCCAGACTCTCTTTCTGCTCTCTCTCTGGTCTCTCTCTTGTCTCTCTCTCTGGTCTCTCTGGTCTCTCTCTTGTGTCTCCAGTCTCTCTGTCTGGTCTTTATGGCTGCTCCAGAGGTATATGATGAAGACCAGAGAATACTAAACTGACCAATGCGGGTCCTCAGACACATTTCAGGCCCCCCCCCTCTAAGATGCAAACACAACATTTGAGACTAGGTTGCGCCTGTATGACATCACAACATCCTGTATATTCTATAGTTTAAAATTGTGTTGGAGGGCACTGAAAAGTCTTTGCTGGTAACTATGGTACTGTAACATGTCATAAGGAACTAATTTCTCCATAATTCCTGGAACAATCAGGAAACTGTTGAAAAGTTCTTTATCAGAAGATATGAACTATGTCTCTTGTTTCTCTCTCTCTGGTCCCTCTAGTCTCTCCCTGATCTCTCTCTGGCCTCTCTCCAATCTCTCTCTCTGGCCACTCTCTAATCTCTTTCTCTAGTCTCTCTTCAATCTCTCTCTGGTCTCTCTCTGGTCTCTTTCTCGTCTCTCTCTGGTCTCTCTCTGGTCTCTCTCTAGTCTCTTTCTGGTCTCTCTCTAGTCTCTTTCTGGTCTCTCTCTGGACTCTCCCTGGCCTCTCTCTAATCTATCTCGCTGGTCTTTCTATGGTCTCTCTCTAGTTTCTCTCTGGTCTCTCTCGACTCTCTCCCCGGCCTCTCTCTCTGGTCTCTCTCTGGTCTCTCTCTCTGGTCTCTCTCTGGTCTCTCTCTGGTCTCTCTCTACTCTCTCCCTGGCCTCTCTCTCTGGTCTCTCTCTGGTCTCTCTCTGGCCTCTCTCTAATCTATCTCTCTGGCCTCTCTCTGGTCTCTCTTTGGTCTCTTTCTCTGGTGTCTCTCTAGTCTCTCTCTTGTCTCTCTCTGGCCTCTCTCATGCCTTTTTTTGCTCTCTCTCTGGTCTCTCTTTGCCCTTAAAATAGCTGAAACTGAAATAGAACTTTTCAACATGAACACAACCAATAAGTGAAACCTACACATAATGAATGATGATAAGAAACCAGCAAAGAAAACCCTTACATTTTCTTCAGAATAAAGTGTAATATTTCACTGGGGGCTCCTGATCCGGGGTGAGGGGCTTTGGGAACGGCTGCTTCTGAGTTTTTCTTTGCTTTTCCCTATTACATGAATGAACTAACAAGAATAACATGGTTGAAAAGAGCAGGTCCACTCAGTCCTCTGTCCACATCCTTTCTCCTCCTGTCTCCTGTCTGTAATGTGGTAGTATCCGAGTACAGCTGTTGCCTTGAGCCTGATCTCGATTGTCTTATAACCATGTTATTTCTGTGCATTGTTGCGTGTGCCTGTGTGGCGTGTGTCTGCGTGTGTTTTTGTTCATTTTGACCCTTGACCTCGGTCAGACTGCACCCACCCTCCCCTCCACCCCATCGCCACCATAGCCACGGATGGGGCTGCGGGCATTACTGCTCCGAGCGCCAGCCTCATTAATGGTAGGTTGAGAAGCTCTGATCTCTGTTGTGTCTCTGTGCTCTCTCTCTGTTTCTGCGCTCTCTCTCTCTGTCTCTATCTTTGTGCTCTCTCTCTGTCTCTGCGCTCTCTCTCGGTTTCTGTTCTTTCATTGCCTCTCTGTCTCTGTCTCTGCGCTCTCTCTCTGTCTCTGTTCTATTCCTCTCTCTGTCTCTGTCTTTGTGCTCTCTCTCTGTCTCTGCGCTCTCTCTCTGTTCTATTCCTGTCTCTGTCTCTGTCTTTGTGCTCTCTCTCTGTCTCTGCGCACTCTCTCAGTTCTATTCCTGTCTCTGTCTCTGTCTTTGTGCTCTCTATCTGTCTCTGCGCTCTCTCTCTGTCTCTGTTCTAACACTGTCTCTCTCTCTCTCTCTCTCCATCTCTGTCTCTGCGCTCTCCATCTGTCCCTGTGCTCTCTCTGTCTCTGCTCTCTCACTGTCTCTCTCTGTCTCCATTCTCTGCACTCTCTCACTGTCTCTTTCTCTCCATTTGCTTAAAGGAAACAATTCCTCTTTAAAGCCAAGGCAAGTCTATTTTGTATAGCACAGTTCATACACAAGGCCACTCAAAGTGCTGATCAAAATCATGAATAATCACTTCAAAAGAGTGACGATATTCCACTTTCTGTTTATGCAAAATAGAAAACAAATCCAGGTTAAAAACATTTGAACATTGTTGTTGTTGAGTAGAAGCCTGTCTTACATTTTCAGGATAAGTTATGCAGATTTTAGCCGCATAAATGTGAAACGCTGCCTCCCATGTTTAGAGCTGACTCTGGGCACAATGGTGAAGTCTCTCATTGTGGAGTTTTGGGTCTTATCTGGCTCCGGAGATGGGCTCTAGGCTCTAAAGCTCCCTGGCTCTGGCTTTAAACGTGAACATGAACAGTGTGCTAAAGACCGACGGCAGAGTTTGATGCTCTGCAGAGACGATAGCAACAACGCAAATGTAGTTTTATAACTGTAGTAATACTTCCATTGGACATATTTGTGTAGAGCCCTAAAACACAGCAGCAACAGATCCGAGAATCAAGCAGTCTGCACAGTTACCCAAACACATGTCAATGCAGACAAACCCTGGACTCAGAGTTTCAGCTGATGTTACATAACGTGGCCATGTAGGAGGCTTTTCCTTCAGGCTCTCTCTCTCTCTCTCTCTCTCTCTCTCTCACCCTCTCTTTCTCTCTTTCTCATTCTCTCAGTCTCTCATTCTCTCCCTCTTCTCTTGCTATACATCTCTTTTTCTCTCTATCTCTCTCCTTCTCTCTCTCTTTATCCCTCTCTTTTTAACTCTCCTCTCTCTTTCTCCCCCTCTCTCACTTTAACTCTCCTCTCTTTCTCTTACTCTCTTTCATTCTCTCAGCCCTTCTTTCTCCCTCTTCTCTTGCTGTCTCTTTTTCTCTCTCTGTCCTTCTCTCCTTCTCACTCTCCTCTCACTGTGTCTCTTTTTCTCTCTCCCCTGCTCTCTCTCTCTTTCTTCCCCTCTCTCACTTTAACTCTCCTCTCTTTCTCTTACTCTCTTTCATTCTCTCATCCCTTCTTTCTCCCTCTTCTCTTGCTGTCTCTTTTTCTCTCTCTGTCCTTCTCTCCTTCTCACTCTCCTCTCACTGTGTCTCTTTTTCTCTCTCCCCTGCTCTCTCTCTCTTTCTTCCCCTCTCTCACTTTAACTCTCCTCTCTTTCTCTTACTCTCTCTCATTCTCTCAGCCCTTCTTTCTCCCTCTTCTCTTGCTGTCTCTTTTTCTCTCTCAGTCCTTCTCTCCTTCTCACTCTCCTCTCACTGTGTCTCTTTTTCTGTCTCTCCAGCTCTCTCTCTCTTTCTCCCCCTCTCTCTCTTTAACTCTCCTCTCTCTTTCTATTTCTCTGTCGCTCTCATTCTCTCAGTGTGTCTCTCTCCCTCTCTCTCTCCTCTCTCTTTTCATCCATTGCTCTGCAGCCTCTTCTCTCCGTCGGCTCTGGTCGTGCATGCTCCTCTCCTCCGCATGCATTCTACTGTTTGTCTGAGCCGTTTGTGTTTGTTTGTGTGTGCGTGTTTGTGTGTGCGTGTTTGTGTATGCGTGTTTGTGTGCGTTTGTTTTTGTGTGTCTCGATAACTTTTCTCTCTCTCACGGTACGGTGGCCCAGAAGGCAAAATCAGACTCGAGCTGTTTGCAAATTGCTAAAACAAGAGAAAAGAACAGTGAAAGGTGGAACAAGGCTTTAGTCCTGTTTCCACCAGCCCTACTCTACCCTAATCTACTCTACTTTACCCTACCCTACTCTACTCTACTCTACTCTACCCTACTCTACTCTACTCTACTCTACTCTACTCTTCCCTACCCTACTCTACCCTACTCTACTCTACCCTACCCTACCCTACTCTACGCTACCCTACTCTACCCTACCCTACCCTACTCTACTATACGCTACCCTACTCTACTCTACCCTACCCTACCCTACTCTACCCTACTCTACTCTACCCTACCCTACCCTACCCTACCCTACTCTACTCTACTCTACTCTAATCTACTCTGCCCTACTCTACTCTACTCTACCCTACTCTATCCTACCCTACCCTACTCTACTCTACCCTACTCTACCCTACCCTACCCTACTCTACTCTACTCTACACTACCCTACTCTACCCTACCCTACCCTGCTCTACTCTACTCTACCCTGCTCTACTCTACTCTACCCTACCCTACCCTACCCTACCCTACTCTACCCTACCCTACCCTACTCTACTCTACCCTACCCTACTCTACTCTACCCTACCCTACTCGACCCTACCCTACCCTACTCTACTCTACCCGACTCTACTCTACCCTACCCTACTCTACTCTACCCTACCCTATTCTACCCTACCCTACCCTACTCTACCCTACCCTACCCTACTCTACTCTACCCGACTCTACTCTACTCTACTCCACTCTACCCTACCCTACTCTACTCTACCCTACTCTACCCTACCCTACTCTACCCTACCCTACTCTACTCTACCCGACTCTACCCTACCCTACCCTACTCTACCCTACCCTACCTACTCTACCCTACCCTACCCTACTCTACTCTACTCTACTCTACCCTACTCTACTCCACCCTACCCTACCCTACCCTACTCTACCCTACCCTGCTCTACTCTACTCTACTCTACCCTACTCTATCCTACCCTACCCTACTCTACTCTACCCGACTCTACTCTACTCTACCCTACCGTACCCTACTCTACTCTACCCGACTCTACTCTACTCTACCCTACCCTACCCTACTCTACTCTACCCTACCCTACCCTACCCTACTCTACTCTACCCTACCCTACCCTACTCTACTCTACTCTACTCTACCCTACTCTACTCTACTCTACCCTACCCTACTCTACCCTACTCTACCCTACCCTACTCTACTCTACTCTACCCTACTCTACTCTACTCTACTCTACACTACCCTACTCTACCCTACCCTACTCTACTCTACGCTACCCTACTCTACTCTACTCTACGCTACCCTACTCTACTCTACCCTACCCTACCCTACTCTACTCTACTCTACTCTACCCTACCCTACCCTACCCTACTCTACTCTACTCTACTCTACTCTACTCTACTCTACTCTACTCTACTCTACTCTACTCTACTCTACTCTACTCTACTCTACTCTACTCTACTCCACCCTACCCTACTCTACTCTACGCGACTCTACTCTTCCCTTACCCTACTCTACTCTACCCTACTCTACACTACCCTACTCTACTCTACTCTACCCTACTCTACCCTACCCTACTCTACCCTACTCTACTCTACTCTACCCTACCCTACGCTACTCTACCCTACCCTACCCTACTCTACCCTACTCTACTCTACTCTACTCTACTCTACCCTACCCTACCCTACTCTACCCTACCCTACTCTACCCTACTCTACCCTACTCTACTCTACTCTACTCTACTCTACTCTACTCTACTCTACTCTACTCTTCCGTAGCCCTGAAGGCGGGGAGCAGCCACAAATCAGAGACGAACTGTTTGCAAATCACTAGAACAGTTTCTTTCCCAATCAACAAACTCGTCCAATTATCTGTTATTATTATCCATTATTTATCAGTGTGGATTCTCATTAGTTCTTAGAGCAACAATCATTTATCCAGCGGTTCACGTAACTCTGCAAAAAGCAACCCCAGAAGAGCTAAAATAAAAGGGCCAAAATAAGTAACAGTCTCCCTCAGTGGAAAAAGTATACGTGTAGGTCCATAATGCAACTTTTAATGAGGAAAAAACCTTATATTAGATTAGTCTTCTTGGTGCCCTAATGTCTGATCACAGTTGTGTCTCAACCATAGAGCCTACAGTATATGAGGAGTGGATTGACTGAGTGTGACATCACCATAGTGTTAGCCTTAATGCAGAAGAAGCCGATTTGAACATGAGCTATTCTTTAGGTTTAGCATGTTAAGTAGTTATAGTTGATTCTTTTGGGCCACTGTACCGGTTTTAACTGTTTATGTATTTCAAAATGTGTGTGTGTATTTAAAACATAAACATATGTATTTATGACAACTCCACATTGCTCATAGGATGTGTGTGTAATTCTGTCTCAATACACTTCTCTGCTGTTGTCTTAACTCTCTGGTCTCTTTCTGGCCTCTCTCTCTGGTCTCTCTCTCCCTTGAGTCTCTCTGGTCTCTCTGGTCCATCTCTGGTCTCTTTCTGGCCTCTCTGGTCTCTCTGGTCCCTCTCCCTCTGGCCTCTCTTTAGTCTCCCTCTGATCTCTTTCACTGTTCTCTCTGGCCTCTCTCTGGCTCTTCTCTAGTTTCTCTCTGGTCCGTCTCTTGTCTCTTGCTGGTCTTTCTCTCTGGCCTCTCTCTTATCCCTCTCTGGTCTCTCTGATCTCCCTCTGGTCTCTTTGATCTCTTTTCTCCTCTTTCTCTCTGGTCTTTCTCTGGTCTCTCTCTTGCCTCTCTCTCTAGTCTGTCTCACTACACTTCTGCTGTTGTCGCGTCCTCGTCTTTGGAGCGTCGCTTTGGTTTTTTTGTTGGTTATTGTCTTATATGTCTCCATCGTAGGTAAAATGCAAGATGGCAATATGGAGAGCAACCAGATGAAAGGTAACGACTCATCTCGATCTCTGTGTTTTCTCACCTCATTCACACTGCGGAGTTCCGGGTCAAAAACAAACCATGACCGAGACACATCAGTCCGATGAGTTTAAGTCAAAGTGCCCATGTGACAGATCAGAGACACAGTTAAAGGGGAAGTACTCTGAACTCGCTACCTTGAGGATATGCTCCCTGATTTGACTTATTTCAGCCCTGTTTCCACCAGCCTCTTCTTTTTCTTTTTCTTTTCTTCGGAAACGTGAGACAAATGTATCCATCATCCTAGAATTTCCTGTTTTTTTCTCCCATCCATTTTAACATAATTGTCATATTCTCTTCACAAGCTGCTTCCCGATTGGTGCAAAACTATGGGTTATATGCACAGAAGACCCTAAACCCTTTTGGGCACTTTAACACAGCTGCGTTAGGTCTGTGACGTGTGCGTTTGACCCGGGACATGTGCAGCCTCATAGAGTAGTACCCCCCTCTGTCTCTGACGCTCTCATGTTCTGTTTGTGTCCCGTCTGTCGTCACACTGAAACACAACTACAGAACTTTGACCTTTGCACATTGACTTTGCTCACTCGGTCATTATGCTGTGACTTTGTACTGTTGTTTAATAGTCCAGCGGGTGCTCTAGTTTAAGTCCTGTTTGTCTAGCACACAAAGAAGTGCACAGGTGACCTTCAGGATCAGGGAGTGAGTTTGTAAATTGTTTGAAAGTCTTTCTCTCTCTTTCTGGTGTCTCTCTGGTCTCTGTCTGGTCTCTTGCTCAGGTCTCTCTCTGGTCTCCTCTTGGTCTCGCTCGAGTCTGTCTCTCTGGTGTCTCCCTAGTCTCTTCGAGTCTCTCTCAGGTCTCTCTCTCTCTGGTCTTTACCTGTCTCTGTCTGGGCCTTGTCTAAGAAGTTTTAAAATAGAATGGATCATTTTAATCAGAGAGGGCCTTTTTAAACAGACAGGGACTTTTTTGAGCTCAATTCAATTCAACGTATTTGTGTATCACCCTAGTAACTTCCTTACTTACTATTTGTGTATCACCCTGAATCACAGGGCGATACACAACACAAGTTGTCTCGTAGAACTGATCCAGGGCTGAGGCTGTAGATCCCGGACTGAGGCTGTAGATCCAGGACTGAGGCTGTAGATGCAGGACTGAGGCTGTAGATCCAGGGCTGAGGCTGTAGATCCCGGACTGAGGCTGTAGATCCAGGACTGAGGCTGTAGATCCCGGACTGAGGCTGTAGATCCCGGACTGAGGCTGTAGAACCAGGACTGAGGCTGTAGATCCAGGACTGAGGCTGTAGATCCAGGACTGAGGCTGTAGATCCCGGACTGAGGCTGTAGAACCAGGACTGAGGCAGTGGATCCAGGACTGAGGCTGTAGATCCAGGACTAAGGCTGTAGATCCAGGACTGAGTCTGTGAATCTAGGACTGTTGCCTAGATAGAGGGGAGTGCAAAAGTGATTTTCATCGTAGTGGAAGCGCTGCGTAGGATTTTAATGAGTGGACAATTTTGTAACAGGGTAAAGAGCTCAAAAAAGAAAATGTTTCAGATTTTTAACATATTCTATGCCTGTTCCCTTGGCAACATCAGTCCAAATCAAGATGAAAACCGCATGATTCAAGCTGGTCTTCAGATGTTTTTTATCCTTTGTGGAGGAGGTCGTTCGGGAGCTGCGGAGTGAGCGCTGGTGGGTCTGATGGATCTTTGTGTCGTGTGTTTCCTCAACAGTGAAGAAGCAGGACGGAGCGGCGGCTATGGAGATGCAGCCGCTGAAGAGTGCAGAGGGCGGCGAGGAGGAGAAGGAACGCAAGAAAGTGTCTGCTCCCAAAAAGGAGAAGTCAGTGCTGCAGGGAAAGCTCACCAAGCTGGCCGTGCAGATTGGGAAAGCAGGTACGTGTGGGTCAGGGGAAGGCTCTACATTGTAGAACAGGGGTGGCCAACCCGCGGCTCGTGAGCCGCATGCGGCTCTTTGGCTGATTCCGTGCGGCTCTCGGGCTTCCACACGACAAGCGTCAAAAACGCCTCGGTGGTGGCGCTGCCATTCATTCCCTATGTAGTTCTGGCCCATAGTAAAGGCCGACTTCACTCCACTAGCCAGGCCACCAAAACAATCTGACGTCGGCGAACGTCAATTCTGATTGGTCAGATGAGCTGTCAATCACTCTGCAGCTGCTGCTTCAGCTGTTGCAAATATCATAACAAAAGACACGTTGCCTCGACCCATGACGTCTGTACGGAAAACAATTCCTTGGTCGCTGGATGAGGGCAACACCTTCCTCAGTTTGAGGAGAGGACACCAGCGTGAGCTCGATGGTTCCACCAGAAACCAGAAGGTGTTTGTGGAGCTATCACCAAGGACGGAGCAGAATGATTCCCACAAACATGACAATGCAGAGAAAAGTTAAAAAGCTTAAAAGTGACTACCGTGAAATGAAAGATCGCAGCAGCAGAAGTAGAGGCAGACCCGAAAAGTCTGGAGGTGGTTTGACCAAATGGATTACATTTACGGACATCGGCTAACACCGGCATACACCGGCTAACATGCTAAAACCAGCTAACACCAGCTACACCAGGAGATAAGCCAACTCTGCATGGTGAGTGTCTGTCTTCAATCAAATGCAAAAGTATCTGGTCTTATACTGAACATGTGTCTGTGGTTCTAAATCAGCTAAAGTGGTGTTGGTGTTATGTGTCAAATCTATATCTTTTATTAAACGCAGTCAGAGTGAATCATGGTTCGATAAAGACAGTTGTGTTTCTGCTGAATACTGGGTTGAAACTTGACTTTTTTTCTTGGTTAGAGATTGAAAGCATTCATTTCGGAATCATAATTAATGTTTGCTGACGTGAAATTGTTCTGGTATCGACTCGCCCGGTTAGAACCAGGGCCAAACCATTAATAAAAAGTACAGGGGAGCGGTTGAAGCGAGCGGTAGAAGCGCCCGCAAACCGGGGAGAGTCGAGTCCAGCCCTTTTGTACTGTACGAGTCAATTTCTGTCATTATCATGTTGATGAGATTTACAATAAATCTGTCTGAGCAGAGCACACCTCTCTCTGCTCAGACAGATTGCATGTGTGTGTGTGTGTTTGTCTGTGAGCGTGTCTGCTCGAGTGCGTACGTGTGTAAGGGTTGGGGTGATGTTTATGTAGGTCACATTTGTATGATGTGGCTCTTTGCTGTAACACAGTAAAAAAAATTGGCTCTTAGTCTCTGACTGGTTGGCCACCCCTGTTGTAGAGGGTCTCAAACATCTGACCACTGGCCATATGCGACCGGCGGAAAGTTATTTTGTGGCCCTCTAGTGGACATCACACTTTAATGTCAGTGCAGCCCCCACTGAGGGCTATGGCTGATGTGGCTTGCTATATATAAAGCTAATTTGATCAAGAAATAAACAGCAGCTTTTACATTACCATAAACATTGAACGCTGAACACAATAAAGGATAAATAAATGTAAATATTATTCAGACCAATAGTCTACAACACTGGGCCTCCAAGTAAACATTTGCTCATACCTTCATGATTATAAAAAATCACAGATGCAAATAATGAGCTGCAAACCACTTATTTAAACAAGCTATAATTTATTGGTTTTTCCATTTTTCTATGAGCACAAACCTTCACTTTCTCTCCTGCTACTGTTGAAAAATGAGAAGATCAGAGAGTTATTTTTCATAAATCCAGGAGCTAAAGCATGTGAAAAGTACAATAGCCTGAGCAGATTTAGTGGCTTAATTCTATATTTGCATCCGTTTGCTCCAGTATATTTTGCACACACACAAACACGTGACAAACATAACCCCTAACACGGACTAGCTTCATCAAAATTCTACCTCATGCAGCCCCTAGTTGATATGAGTTTGAGATCCCTGTTCCACAACTACACAAATCTCACTGGTCTCTCTCTGGTCCCTCTTTCTAGTCTTTCGCTGGTTTCTCTCTCTTTGGTCTCTCTGTTCTCCATCTGGTCTCTCTGTGGTGTCTCTCTGGTCTCTGTCTCCAATCTCTGTCTCTGGTCTCTCTCTCTGCCAGGTTTTCAGAATTCTCAGGCCTGAACCTGTATCAAGCCAGACTTTTTCTTTTTTACCTCCCATAACAATGTTTTACCGTGTGTAGTATATAGTGCAGTGCACTGATATGAACACAGTGCACTGCACTATATACTAGAGGGCGGAGTTATACATGATAGTGATGTGTGTACGGAGTGAATGGCCGCAGCTGTATGATACACAGCTGTATGATACACAGCTGTATGATACACAGCTGTATGATGCACAGCTGTATGATACACAGCTGTATGATACACAACTGTATGATACACAGCTGTATGATACACAACTGTATGATACACAGCTGTATGATGCACAGCTGTATGATACACAGCTGTATGATACACAGCTGTATGATACACAGCTGTATGATGCACAGCTGTATGATACACAGCTGTATGATACACAGAGGCCGCAATAAACTACAACACACTTGAAGGTAACGCTATGTTGTCAATGACAATACTACACAGAACAACACTACAGCGTGATAAAACGCTCTATTCATTGGGTGCGTTCGTAAATGTAATCTGCCGCTCTGAAAAAGAATAAATAAAAGTGCCCGAGCCGAGCTCGGGTCTGGTCTCTCTCTCCAATCTCTGTCTATGGTCTTTCGCTCTCTGATCTCTCTCTCACTCTGGTCTCTCTCTGATATTGTGTCTTCTCTGGTCTAGGTTTGCTCATGTCGGCCATCACAGTCATCATCCTGGTCTTGTACTTTTGCATCGATAACTTCGTGATGCAGAAACGCCCCTGGATGACCGAGTGCACTCCCATTTACATCCAGTACTTCGTCAAGTTCTTCATCATCGGTGTCACGGTCCTGGTGGTGGCGGTGCCAGAGGGCCTCCCGCTGGCCGTCACCATCTCTCTGGCCTACTCTGTCAAAGTAAGAAGCAAGACTTGGACTCCCTGACTGTACACCACTACAGAACTGGCTGGACTATTAAACACACCTGTGTAGTAAGCAAGTGTCTCAATCAGGGAACCGTGGCACGTTAGTGTGGCTTTGGAAATTACCTAAATCACCTGATTGGTCCAAAGAACGAACACATCAATAAAACATATATGTTTAAAAAATACTGCAATGGATGATGATGCTGAACCATTAATATGTGATTCCCTCTGGTCGGGCCTCTTTCTGTCTTTTCCTTCTCTGGTCTTTCTCTGGTCTTTTTCTGGTGTTTCTCTCTCTGGTCTCACTCTCTGGTCTCTCTCTCTCTCTTGTCTCTCCCTAGTCTCCCTCTGACCTCTATCTATGGTCTTTCTTTGGTCTCTCTGGTCTCTTTTGGTGTCTCTCTTTGGTCTCTCTGGCCTCTCGCTGTACTTTCTATACTAATCTATACTCTCCGCTCTCTCTATAGGCCTCTTTCTCTCTATTCCCTCTCTGGTCTTTCTTTCTTTTTCTGGTCTTTCTCTCTCTGGTCTCTCTCTGATCTCCCTCTCTGCCCTCTCTAACGCCTCTACCTCTAGTCTCTCTGGTCTCTCTCTCTGCTCTCTTTTTGGTCTCTCTCTGGTCTTTCTCAAGCCTCTCTGGTATCTCTCGCTCTCTGCAGTATCTATACTAATCTATGCTCTTTCTCTCAGGTCTTTCCCTGATCTCTCTCTCTCCTCTTTCTCTCTCTATCTGCTCTCTCTGCTCTCTCGTATCTCTCCCTGATGTCTCTCACCCTGCTCTCTCTCTGCTCTCTCTGGTCTCTCCCTGATCTCTCTTTCTCTCTCTGCTCTCTTTTAAGTAGAAGTAAATGTAAAGTATCACTTATCACACCGGACTGCTCTAAATTATCATAAATACAGTGAATAAAATGCATTGACCTTGTCTGATCTGGCGCCTGCAGAAAATGATGAAAGACAACAACCTTGTGCGTCACCTGGATGCGTGTGAGACCATGGGGAACGCCACGGCCATCTGCTCGGACAAGACGGGAACGCTCACCACCAACCGGATGACGGCCGTGCAGCTCTATGTGGGAGACATGCACTACAAGGACATTCCGGAGCCTGGAACCCTGTCCCCCAAGTCTCTGGAGCTGCTGGTCAACTCCATCTCCCTCAACAGCGCCTACACCACCAAGATCCTGGTGAGAAGCGGATATATGCACATGGTTTCTGCGTGTTATCAGGACCAGGGATCGTTGAATATTGGCTTGCTCACATTTTTGCTCTGGTCTCTCTCTGGTCACAATGTGATCTCTCTGATGTCTCTTTCTGGTTTCTCTCGTTGGTCTCTCCCTGGTCTTTCTCTTACTGGTTTATCTCTGGGTTTTCTGTGGTCTGTGTGGTCTCTCTCACTGGCCTCTATCAAGTCTCTCTCTGGTCTCTGTTTTTGTCTCTCTATGGTCTCTCTCTCACTTTTGTATGATGTCATTGTACCACTATGACATCCAGCTCAAAGCAGTTTTCTGCCTTTTAAAACAAAAGTATTGTCCATAAACTAGTTTTGATAATTTCTCAGGAGATGTATTTGTGTAACAGCAGCCGTCTCTGAGGACTTTGCAAAGTTGACAATTTGCCATCAATGAATCAAACCGTTCAAACGCAGGAAATGCAATTGTAACAAACACATAGGAGCCAGACCAGAGATAGACCAGAGATAGACCAGAGATAGACCAGAGATGGACCAGACAAAGACCAGAGAGAGACCAGAGAGAGACCAGAGAGAGACCAGAGAGAGATCAGAGAGAGACCAGAGAGAGACCAGAGAGAAAACAAGAGAGAGACCATAGAGACACCAGAGAGACACCAGGGAGACACCAGAGAGACACCAGGGACATAGACCAGAGAAAGATCAGTGAAGATGGAGCTCTGTTTTAGATGAGCAAAGATGAGGAATTTCATTCTGTTTTATGCCTATTTTTAGTCAAAATCCCTGTATTTTGCTGCATGGTCTTTTTGGCTCTAAAATCGATGCTGCTTAGCTTAGACACACATTCTGGAGTAGTGATACAGCCCATTTGGGGAGGATGTGAAATCTCCCGGGGTCCGAGGGCCTTAAGGCTGATGCTTTTAATGCCATTTCTATAAGGACCGCTATGTGAGCATCGAGAAAGGATTAGAGTTTGGTCGAATCAGCAGAAATTAGAGCTCAGAATATGCTGGGGACTGATTACGAGTCAATCCATAATGTTAAGGGATTTTCTTTAGTACCAACAGCTTGTTTGTCAGCGGAATACGAGTTACGCAGGTTGAGAGAGGCCAGAGAGACGCCAAAGGGACACCAGAGAGACTCCAGAGAGACACCAGAGAGAGAGACCAGAGAAAGAGAGCAGAGAGAGAGCATAGAGCGAGACTAGAGAGCGAGACCAGAGAGAGTAGTAAGAGCGCAGTGAGAGAGCAAGAGAGAGACCAGAGAAAGAGAGCAGAGAGAGAGCATAGAGAGAGATTAGAGAGCGAGACCAGAGAGAGTAGTAAGAGCGCAGTGAGAGAGCAAGAGAGAGACCAGAGACAGAAACCAGGGAAACGAGAGAGAGTCCAGATAGAGACAAGAGAGAGAGGCGAGAGAGACCAGAGAGATTGGCCGGAAAGAGACCAGAGAGTGACCAAATAGTGAGAGAGACAAGGGAGAAAGTCCACAGAGAGACTAGAGAGAGACTAGAGAGAGACCAGAGAGAGACCAGAGAGCTTGGCCATAGAGAGAGAATTTTCTTTTGTACCAACAGCTTGTTTGTTGAAATACGAGTTACGCAGGTTGCTAGCTCAGTGATTAAAAGCTGAGGCTCCATCTGTCCGTTTATTCATTTCTGATTGTCACCGGGGCTAATTGGCTTTGGAAGGAATGTGGTTTCTCACCGCTTCACTGTAAACAAGGAGACGTCCCCCGCTCTTGGAGTGGGTTGAATTCAATTAGAGTCGGCCGCGGTCTGCATATCAGATAAGGAGGAATCACACGGCCGTTCTCAAGGTGGCGACTTGATGATGAATGGGAAGAAGCACCGAAGACGCCGGAGCGGGAGAGGGGACTGTGTCACTGTCTCAAAGCTCATCCCCTCAGAGCGGCTTCAGCTGCTGTGATTTGGTCTATACATATTTGTACAGAAGTGAGATTTAATTGTTTGGAGATCCTTCATTATAAAGATGGGGTTTTCTTTGAATGGTTGCTTTGCCGGTGCAGGAGGATCTAAGGACAGAGATGATCCAGGACATTTATGCAAATTTGTTAGCATTTTTGGACATTGGTCATCTCACTCCCTATGCACCAATGGTTCCTATTGGTCTCTCTCTGGTCTCGCTTGTGTCTCTCAGTGGTCTCCCTCTGGTCTCTTTCTTTCTCTCTCTCTCTCTCTCTCTTTGGTCTCTCTCTCTCTTTAGCCTCTCCCTGGTCTCTCTTTGGTGTGTGTCTCTCTCTGGCTTCTGGTAGCTCTCTGTCTCTCTCTGGCCTCTCTCCAGTCTCTCTGGTCTCTCTCTAGTCTCTCCCTTACCTCTCTCTGGTAGATCTCTGACTCTCTCTGGTCTCTCACTGACTCTGTCTGTGGTATTTTTCTCTCTCTTGTCTCTCTGGAGGCTGTAGATCCAGGACTGAGGCTTTTCTTGAGAAAAATAGCTTTCATTTTTAATTCCTTTTAGTGGCCACTAAAACGCTGCATGTTTGACATCTCTGTTTGACATCATCAAAACAGTTGCAGAGGACATAACAAGGACAAACATATTTTTTATTGTCAGCGCGTTCTGTATGGGAGGTTTTATGCTGAATTTACTGTTACACAACGGTCTGATAATAAGTAATGTTCTTACCGCACACCCCTGTCCTGCCTCTGCCCCTGACCTCTTACTGCATACATAAACATGGATAGAATGTTTACCATGCATGGTACCATATGCACGCCTCTCTCTGCTCACTCTCCCTAGTCTCTCTCTGGTCTCTCTCTGGTCTCTCTCTTTAGTCTCTCTTTGATATCTCTGTACTCTCTAGTCTTCGATCTCTCTCTGTACTCTCTCTCTGGTCTCTCTGGAGACTCTAGATCCAGGACTTGAGAAAAATAGATTGATTATTAAAACAATTAAAGATAAAAATCCTTTTTAGTTGCTGCATATGTTCGGCACATTCTGTATGGGAGGTTTGCTACTGTATGTACTGTTACACTATAGTCTGATTATAATGCAGAGTAATCTTCATATACCGCACACCCCTCTCCCGCCTCTGCCCCTGACCTCTTCCTGCATACATAAAGATGGATAAAATGTTTACCACGCACGGTACCATATGTACGCTCACACAGATGCCTCTGCTGATGTTTTATGCATACATTCTGCAGATAGAAGACACCCGAGGCACGACGCTTGATTGCCTGTTGGTTTGCGTTTGAAGCAAAGTCACGCAGCACTTTCAGAATACTTGAATACATTCTCATGGCGTCCCATGCATTCTCACGCTGTAGACACGTATACTGCACTGCAAAAAATGATAAAATATGAGGTGATAATTGCTTGAATCGAGTGGTTTTTATCTTAATTTGAATACTTTCTGAGTATTCAGTCATTCAGTCTTATTTGAACAATTGCTGCTTTATTTTCTCATTCCAAGGTCGGCATTTCTTGTATCTTTCTAAAACAAGATAATTGTGTTTGTCCCATTGGCAAATCTAGTCTTAAGTTTAAGAAATTAAGAAATATTTGGTAAATTTGAGCAATTATGTTAGGATTTTTTGCAGTGTGGTGCTGTAGATTCTCGACTGTTACTGTAGATCCACGACTGACGCTGTAGTTCAAGGACTGAGGCTGTAGATCCAGGACTGAGGCTTTAGATCCAGGACTAAGGTTCTAGATCCAGGAGTGGGGCTGTAGATCCAGGACTGGGGCTGTAGTTACATGATGAAGGCTGCAAAGATATATCCTAATAATGTCTTAAATTAAGAAATATAATTTTTAATATATCTGTGACCTGCATCTTTAGCCTTGTTGTAAGCCCTGTGTCACTGGTTTGTCTGGTAAATCTGCCTTACAAAAATTACTCTCATTAACTACTTCAACTCAAACACGCATACTCAGACTATAGACATGTATACTGGTGCTGTGGTAAGTCCACTGGTGCATGTGCTAAATGTGAGACCAAAGACCCGTTTGGAGCTGGGTAATGCCTCTATACATTGACACCCGGAGCTATAGCACTGGGCCATTATGAAGCCAGAGGCGGCGAGCTGATACCGCCATCAAAGCCTGCCTCTTCGGCTTTGTCTCTTTGTGCTGCGACCATCAAAGCTTCTATAGCCTCTGCATGTCCCGCTCGATTGGCCCCTTACATAAGACCCAGAAGCTCCAGCAGACCCAGAGAGAACAGAGAGAACCTAGAGAGAGAGAGACCAGAGAGAGAGAGACCAGAGAGAGACCAGAGAGAGAGACCAGAGAGAGAGAGATCAGAGGGAAAGAAACCAGAGAGAAAGAGACTAGAGAAAGGGAGACCAGAGAGCGAGAAAGACCAGAGAATGACCTTAGAGAGAAACCAGAGAATGACCAGAGAGGGAGACCAGAAACCCACTATGACACAGTTTTATGACGTTAAAACAAAAATAATGTTTTGGTGAAATTGCAATCACATGTCTCATAATAAAGGATTTCAGTTTAGCTTCAGACAGAGAAAAACAGTGGATCTGGTTTAGAAAACAGGGCTGTGGTCAACGGAACGCTGCTGCCTCTGACTGTAGATGAAGATGGATAATTCATATGTCTTTGGTTCTGGTCACCCGACTTGAAAATGGAACATAACGACTCTACTCATCCATAATGAATCAGTTCCATATATAAATCCACGCTTTAAAGTCTCCATGTATAATGTATCTTGATGCTAATCTGACTTCTTCAGCTTGTAACCCTGTTTAGTTTCTGTCAGTCTCGTGAGGGGGCGGGCGTTAAAAACAAAAGGAATGTTTGGAAAGTCCCAGAGTGTATATATCAGCAGGGGAGACAGAGTGTGACATCCCCATAGTGTTTGCATTGATGAATGAAGGCATCTGATTGGACAATATTTTTTATGGCTCATATCTGAATTTACAAAGACAATATCCCAATGAAAACACCAGGATCACAGAGAGCGCTACACACCACAGATTTAAGCCCAAAATAGTGTGTCAGAGAGATGGAGCAAAACTTTGTCTATGAGCACTTCCCTATGGTGCTTCAATGAGGTAGCGGGTTAGCATTGTCCCTCTGTATGTTCGCAGATGTTTGGGTCATATTACCACACGTTACCTTTGAGTGTAGGGCGACAGTATCTCAGTTGATAGAGCACATACTGGTTGCCTTGCTTCTGTCAGTGTGCCCCAGGGCAGCTGTGGCTACAGTAGTAGTTTATCACCACCATTCATTTTTATTATAATTCTTCATTTAGAACGACAATAGTAGTAGTCTTCTAACAAACATCACAATTTGAGTCAGGATTTAAATGGTCACCTTTAACCCAGGTTTGGCAATTGTTTTACCGTCATTCAAAGACTAACAATATGGTGACGTCATACTCAGTCCACACATACTGTACGGCCTCAGTCCTGGTTCTACAGCTTCAGCCTCAGTCTTGGATCTATAGTCTCAGCCTCAGTCCTGCATCTACAGCTTCAGCCTCAGTCTTGGATCTATAGTCTCAGCCTCAGTCCTGCATCTACAGCTTCAGCCTCAGTCTTGGATCTATAGTCTCAGTCTCAGTCCTGGTTCTACAGCTTCAGTCTCAGTCTTGGATCTATAGTCTCAGTCTCAGTCCTGGTTCTACAGCTTCAGTCTCAGTCTTGGATCTATAGTCTCAGCCTCAGTCCTGGTTCTACAGCTTCAGTCTCAGTCCTGGATCTACATCTTGGTTCCTCTCTGCTGCAGGAGGGTCTAAGACAGAGATGATCAGCGATATGTATTGACATTTCTGGACCAATGGCTCCTATGTTTTTGTGATCATTTCATTTCCTGTGTTTGAACTGTTTCATTCTCTGATCTGTTGTGAATCCACAACTTTGTAAAGTCCTCACAAACGACTGGGTTTGTGATTTAGGGCGAGACACAAATACATTATGAAGTATGAATTCATTGAATATTGATGCTACCAAAACGTTCATTGCTTTCCGTGTGGATTCTTTCTTTCACGAGCAGATACAATGGCGGCTTTTAATCAGACTCTTGACACAAACCTATTATCGTCGTCAGATTCACAGTTTCATCATCGAGGAGAGGACTATTGTTGTATCTGGCTCCGGCGTGCGCTGCTTTTGTCATCTGGAGACTGCTCGCTCGTGTGCACAGCTGAACAGTTTTTAATCCATCAAAAAGGAGCTATTTTCAACGTGCCTTGAGTTCACGCAGGTTTTAAATCAGAGCGACTGAGACGTTATCGTTGAATTAAAATAACGAGGCTTTGAAGATAATGAGCTCCTCCACACAAAGGATTTCACGCCTTTTTATTAGATTTGTTTTATGTGGATTTGAACGATCTGCGGCCACTTTCACTTTAATTTCACTATTCAATGTATTTCTGTATCTCCCCGAACCACAACAACAGTCGTCTCGGAGGACTTGTTGTGGAGTTGTGGATTCCTCCACAACAGATCAGAGAACACAATAATCACAAATGACATAGAAGCCATTGGTCCATTGAGAGCGAAACGACCACTGTCCAGAAATTTTAATAAATGGGTTAAAGTCCAGAGAGGGATCAGAGAGAAACCAAAGACCAGAGAGAGACCAGAGAGTGATCAGAAAGACCAGAGAGAGAGAAAGAGATACCAAAGAGACCATAGAGAGACCATAGAGAGACCATAGAGAGACCATAGAGAGACCATAGAGAGACCATAGAGAGACCATAGTGAGCCCAGAGAGAGACCATAGTGAGCCCAGAGAGAGACCAGAGAGAGACCAGAGAGAGACCAGAGAGAGACCAGAGAGAGACCAGAGAGAGACCAGAGAGAGACCACAGAGAGAGATACCAAAGAGACCATAGAGAGACCACAGAGAGACCAGAGTGAGGCCATAGAGAGACCATAGAGAGACCATAGAGAGACCATAGAGAGAGACCAGAGAGAGAGACCAGAGAGAGAGACCAT